ATACATATAATATAGACCTATTTAAGAAAGGAATAGCTTATTGATAATTCTGGAAAACAACAGCTGGTCCTGCCAGACTATATGTTGCTTCTGTCTTAAGATGTGTCTGCTTTTGGAGTATTTAGCCAAAAGCAGGGTCAGCAAGGAGACAGAGATGTTGGGGCGGGGGGAGATGTGGAGGGAAGAATTAGTCAATCTTAAGGCAACTGAAAGACTGACAACTAATGGAAAAGTTTTAAGAGGGGAATAAAGTGTCTGATGCAGATTGTGCCTAAGATCAGTCTCATGTTTCCTGTGATCTCAGTATTTGATGCTTTTTACAAACATACTTTAATATATTCATTGTACATCACACCATATCCTGTCTTCTCTCTGGCTTTGTGTAACTCTGCAGCCTTGGGCATATCAGATGTATCCAGGGCAGGCTGCAGTTGTGACACACATGGAAAAGCTACGTGATGATGCTCCTGTTTATCCATCATTTGACTCACAGAATACCCTGTAGTGGCCACAGTTAATTGAGTTGGAAAGGAGAGTTTAGCTTGCTTTTTTTTTTTTTTGTCTAATATGAGCTGGAGCAAATGTGACCCTTTGATTTGTGTAATGCTTATGATAAAATCATGCTGTATTTAGGCATAGGAGAAAAACAAATAATTTTGTGTTTTAATGTTCCTGGGCTTGGGGCAAAGGGAAGAGAGAGAGGCAGAAGCATAGCCAGAAAAATTCCAGTCAAGACCTGGATCTAGGTTGAATTTCTCACATGCTGTGTATATAATTCCCTTTGACTCCTTATAAAAATCTTAGCCCTGTGTTGTTTCAATGCCCTGTCCCTTTACAAATGGCATGGCTCAAATCTCAGCTTGAAATAATTTAGAATATCAGCCCAGGTCAGGGCATCTGGAACTGCATTTCATTTCCTTTCTGCGCTCCTCTTGATGAGGGACACTGCTGTGTTAATGGGGTTTTGTTCGTTTCTTTCAGGCTGCTCTTTCCCCAACTGGTGTCACGATTAGTGACATCAAAGTCACCTCTTGGCAAACCTTGTGATGACATGACTAGAGGAAGATTCTTATAACATGCAGGAGATTAAGCAGCAAGTTAGCAGTTCTGGAAGTACAAAGCTCTTATTTTCATGCATATATCTACAGTCAAAATGAATGAAGAGAAGGAGAGATGGGAAGTAGGTGATACGTTGGTAGAATCATTACTCAAAGGGCTTTTGCTCAGAGTTTTGCAAGAGGAATTGGTGATGCTTTAATCTCTCACCTCGTGCCACGTTATATTCTGGGCATGTCGAAATGTAACACAGTGTAACGAGACATGATCTGTTGGATAAGGCTTTATGTAGTATGAAAATGTTCTTCTGCTTTCTCTTTTTATTATTTACATTCCCAGAGAAGGTTATGTGTTGTGTCGGCTTTGCAGAGATAAATGGCTAACCTGAGTTTTCTGGCAGCTTCCCCACAACTTGGGGAGGATTTTACCAAAATGTTGGCTTGAGGATTTTGAAGACTTGAGCGTGTTTCTGGGTGTGGAAGGAGGTATCTGAGAGAACTTGTGGTGGTGTGTCCTGAAGATAGATTTGGTGGGGCACAAGAGGTAGTCATAAGGTGATCTGAAATACCACAGAGGAAGGGCAGCTGGGCACCAGTGTAAACCAGTAAGCGATGCTGGGTAGTGCCCTGGTGGTCTTATCAGGACTGGGGACATCATGGGGATGTTGGAAGTTAGGAATGAAGGGAAGCAGCTGACCTGACATGCAGGAACCTTGGCTGGTGCATCTCAGTTGGAGTGCCGAGTAGGGCTGGCCAGTGCTGCTGCTGTCATGAGCTCGAGTGTTTATTGCAGTTATCATGATAATTTCAAGGCAGAAAAGGAACTGGGTATGCTGTAAAGCACAGGATTGAGTGACTCCTGCCTGCCACAGAGTTAAATCTTTGTTTCCCAGGTGTTTCAAGGGTAGCATGTTTTATGAGCGTGTTGTCAGCTCTTTGCTCTATTTGCTGCTTCGTTAGCCTTCACGCTGGGTGCAGGCTGGGGGAGCGCAGGGTTTGGATACGGGATTTGGCTGTGATGGCTTCCGTGAAGGAAAGAGGCAGTTAACGAGCCCTGCGGTTTCCTGGCTGGTACACACCTTGGTTATGACTCTCTGGTGGATGGGATGTCAGACCTGCGGATGTGCTTGTCAGGAGGGGAGATTTTAAAGGAAGCTTTAACTAGAATAGAGAAGTTTCCTTGGTGGGACCTACAGGAGGTGGGTTCCTCTACTGTCACCCACGGGGAAACAATGTATTTCTGTCTGGCCTCTTTCTCCCCATTTCCTGGGTTTTAAGATCTGGAAACTCCAGAAGCTTTTCTGACATTGAATCTAAGACAAGCTTGACTTTGATCAGCATTGAGAGGAAGAACTGCATGCTATTTGCAATTAGCAGAAATACAGTTTCTGAGACGAGAAAGCCCTTGCTTAGAGTTTTTCCCCCCTCTCCCTCCCTGCCTTATTTTGACTGAGGAAAGAACATCTAAATTAAGATGCTGTGCTGTCTTCCAATATACAGAAGAGATAAGTGTTAAAGCTGTGTTCATCAATTGCAAAAGAAAACGTGTTTTATTTTGCTTTGTGCTATTTACAGCTGTTGTCCATTAGGAGTCCTCAAGAGCCTCGTTCTCAGCTACAACAAACAGCACAGTCCCATAAGTTTAGCTCAGCAATGAGCCTGCAAAAACAGCACTAAATCACAGTGATGGGAGAAAGAGGAAAATGTTTGGAAATGGCAAAATGCATGTGATGTCTTCATGAAAGCTAGTTTTTGCTTGTTGCTATTTTAAAGCATTACTAAGGTAGACTGTAATGCACAACTAACTGGAGCAGAATAGACATCGTGTGCTCTAATTATGGGGGGAAAAAAATTGGAATGACTAGTAGTTCTGCAGGAGCTAAAGGAATCTTTCACAGTCCCTAAGTGCCCTAGGGACTTATGTATACACATTGCTCAAAATATACTAATCTCACAGTAAGGTAAGGTGTAAGAATGATAGAAGACTAATATACGGTTATTGAGAAACAGAGTTCCAGTTGCTTTACTGGACCAGACTATGATTGCTTTGTATGAGCTCTTTGAACTGAGTGCAGTTGACTCTTCTAGCTCCCACCAACTGCTTAAGAGGAAGGCATGGAAGTGGGGAGATGTGGAGGGGGGATTGTTTCCAAGTCTGAGTGCATCCCTGAAAGGTGTAACAAATTGTACTGTAATTTATGTATCGAGCAGAACTGTGCAGAAGGTACAGTTAAGGAGAAAAATTAGTGCTTATTCCTCGTTTGACTGTGAAACGAGAAATTTCACTTGTATTCTCAGCTCTGACACAGCCTTTGCTTTGTTGGACAAATTGCTAAACAGCTTTTTAATAACATCTATATTTTTCAGCATGCCACTCTACCTCCCTGTTTCGCGTTAATTGATTAATGATTTGTAAAGCATGTGGAAACCGAAGGACAGCTTTGTGAGCTAAGGACAAAAGCGTATAACTTGCTAATTCAGCATTTGTTTACAAGGGCACTGAGCTGATGCCTTTGGTTTTGTTTTCTGTCCTGTTACCACTCCCAAGCTTGTCAGTTGGGGTCCCTCAATTCACACAAGGGAACAGAGCCTGAGTTCTGACGTTTTCTGATAGAGCGGGACAAACCTATCCTGGCATCGTTGTGATGCCCTGACAGATAATGGTTTCCACTAAAGTAAATCTGTCAAGTTGACTTGTGCCAACCCCCGAGATTGTGAATGCTCACAAAAGGATCATTTTAAGACAGATAATTGCTTTGTCCTTTCCTTTTATTTTCGGTGCCTGGCAGGTGTCTCCTCCTGTCTTCTCCTGTTTCCTTGGCCCATGCAGGGAATATGCTTAGCACAGATGGGATCTTCAAAGAATCTGCTGTCAAACTTGGTCTTTTCTAAGCATATGTACACTGAGAGTTTTTGGAGACTTATAACTAGATGAAATGGGGGTGCTTTTTCACAGGAACAGCAAATAACATATCTGATAACGAGGAAACTTTCACTGTCAAATTGCAAGTCTACTTTGAAACAGGTTCAGTGGAGATCCTATCAATGAACTGTTTAGTAAGACTGATTATTTTTTTTTAAAAGCGACCCACTAAACCCTCTCCCCTATTCCAAATTCCGTCAGCTTGTCTCCCATGCCAAATGTATTGCTAGAAACAGCTGAACTCTTCTAGTTGTGACTTCTGAAAAACAGCTTTGTAAATCTGAGTGTGTGTCTATATTATATAAAACTGAAAACTGTTTTTCCACCAAAAGTAACCAGCTGCCTAGCTATGTGCATTATTATTTCTATCTTTTGTTGGGTGGACATGAAAGGATGGTTAATTTGAGTATTCTACCTCTGCAGTCTATCTAGTTAGCATATTCATGTATTTTCTTGAATTATATCACTTTAACTTGATTAGTTATGGTTTTGACCCTACATGGGTTACTGTTGGAGATCAGACAGCTTCCATGTCCTTCAAGCCCTTAAGGGTAAACAGATCTGTTTAGAGATTTGGAAAGTTCTCATCTGTTAATGGTGAAGTACTAAAAGTGGAGCAGGATCTCAGACAACTAAATTTATTTCTAGCTGCATTTTAAACCTTAGTGAAATTTGATAGAGTCCAACTTTCAAGAATTGCCAGAAAGTATGTGGTGCCATTTTGAGAGACATTAATTGGCACATGCAAAATGCCCTCTAATAGTACATGTAAATGTCTGCAAAGTGTCATAGAATAAACAAACAAAAGAATAGGGATGAAACTAGCTGGTTCTGAGGGACAAACGTGGCACTAATTGGCAAATAGCACATTCAGGAAATGTCTAGATTATTTAGGGATGTATTTTCCATAAGATATGTCATGTTATCTCAATTAAAAAGGAATAAAACCCACTTGTAAAGATATTATCCAAAGAGAAGTCCTCTCTCTTTTTTTTTTTTTTTTTGTTTGCTTTGTTTTACAGACGATCGTCCTTATGTGTTTCTAATGGCCCGTGTTCACCCTGGTGAAAGCAATGCCAGTTGGGTAATGAAGGGGACCCTGGAGTTCCTTGTGAGCAGTGATCCCATCGCTGATCTCCTGCGGAAATGTTTCATTTTCAAGATTGTCCCCATGCTCAATCCTGATGGAGTCATCAATGGCAGGTGAGTTGTGATATGTGCTTATTCTGGGGGTTTGTCTGCAGGCTTTACCCCTGTGCACATAGCAGGTCTCGTCTGCAATGTTTTGGGTCAGAAGAATTCCCTTTGCCTCTTGTTTTATTCCTCCTGTTATCAATCCCATATGGAAAATGTGAATCTGAGAGATGACACGGTGTGCTGTCTTGCATTTGTCAGATATACGTGATTCTGTAGTGTATGTGGCCATAACATCTCTCAATTGTCAGGATGGACTATTAGCGGTGCCAGAAAAACAGGATCTTTTTTGATAAATGGAGAGTTGTCTATTCTGCTAAAGCAGCAGGGCAGACTTCACTTGCAAGACAGATATGCTTGGGAATAACTGGCTTTAATTAATGCTTTGTATAGCCTGGTGGGGGGAAGATGAGTAAGGATCTATTAAATTTTCATGGAAATGTTTCCATATAGTGAAGTTCCCTCCTTTTCCCACCTTCTTTTCAATCTTCCCTCCCACGTTTCCTAAGAGATACTGAATCTGAGCTAGGAAAATACTGATTCCTTTTTGTATTTTTTGCCTTTACGCCATCCCTGCCCACTCACACTAACTTCCCTTCCCTCTCCATGTACACGAGTGGAAAAAGTACAACTCTGCTCCTAGTATGTTAACATGAAATAGATATTGCTGTGCTGCCAGTGAAAGAGGAATTCCCTTTGAAGAAGAATGCACTAAGCTAAGGTAGGCTTGCACCTCTTTGGAAAAAAGTCTCCAGTGTCTCTGCGGAGAGTGGAGTTTGTTCTCTTCATTGGGTGTTTGTGGAGTGTCTGTAAGCCAGTAACTCTCAGTCCTGTCTCTGATGCAGGGGCAGGACATGACGATGATCACATCCCACCAGTCACTGAGGAATTGTCTGTTTTGACCTGGTGATAAGGTCTTGCAGGTTTTGGTCACAACTGTGTCCCCTCAGCTTGTAGCAGTGGAACACACAACAAATCTCGAAGCTGAAAGATCAGCTTAGACAAGCACTGAAACCATAGTGAAGTGTAGAGGAACAACTTTTCTTAAGCTGTGTTTTCCCATCTGCTTTTGGGTCAGGCTGTGCAGATCCAGTGCTGCAGAAACAGAAGGAGAATTCTGAGCGACAACAGAATTGAGTCTGTCTGTCTCTAAACTAATTCCTGTTGGTTTTGGGTGAGGGGTTAAGCAGAGAGCAGCAGCCTGGGCTTCTCTGGTAGTCTCTGGTCTGTGACTATGAACAGTGACAGCTGTTATGCTGCTGCGCTCCCCAGGACTTGAGCGTATCGGTGGTCTGGGAGCAGCACTCTGCAGAGTAGCTGAACACTGACCCAGAGTATTTGAAGCCTCTGCTGGCACAAAATGCCTCCTTGATCCTTCCAGACAGCAGAAGCAAAAAAGAAAGGTTGTGACTTTTTTTCCCCCCTTTCTCTTTTTCCTTTCACTGCCCTTAATTAAGGCTTCCAGCAGATGGAAGACTGGAGGGAATGTCTGACCTTTTTTTCTCCAGCTGCCAGGAGTGAGTGTAGCAGAGAAAGGACCCTCAGGAGAGAGGACGTGGCTCTTGGTGACACCTGGGTGAAATGTACTGCCTGGGCTCATGTCACACAAGAATGTGTTTTGCCTTCGCTGGTGCAGATGAGCTTAAACTCTAGTCAAACCTGATGATGAACAAAAAAGTTTGGTAAGCCTGGCATGTGGGATAGAAGCAGAGGAATAGGGTCTTAGCTGTAGCTCTGTTCCTGATCATGAGGCCTGGGGAAGGGAAAGAAGCATTCCTTTATGCTTTAATTTCAATGCTTTTATCCCATGAAGCCTCTCGTGGCCCCGATATTATTCTTGTTTCTTCCGCTGTTTTTTAGTAGTCTTAGGTCCTCCTACACTAAAAGAAATGCTTCTGTTCTGGACCTCAGGTTTACTGGTGCTCTGCTGGAGATAACCGTGTGTATTGGAAAAGGCAAATATCTTTCAGGCCCTTAATGTCTATATGTGCACATGCAGATTTATTTGGCTACTTAATGTTCCACCTTTTCCAGGTTTAAAAGCTCCAGTAAATTCTATTATCTTTGTTAAGAGGGAAATTGTTTTCTGTGGAAGCTGGTCTATAGCGCGTCATGGACCATAGTACTTGTAAGAAGATACTTGCTAAATAGTTTTTAAATCTCTGAAACCCATTTCACAACCCGTTTCACGAAGCAACTTGTTTGCCCTGGGATTCACAATCCCTTTTGTTGAAGTCCCACCAGGTATACCTCAACCTGCTGGAGTATATTCTGCTCGAGTGTCTGGCTCTCCCTCTGCCAACATCCCCGCCTGCTGTTCTTTTCTAGTTTTGTACAAGTTCCTGTGCTCTCACACCTTCCCCCTGTGAGGAATGGACATACTGAATGTATCACATCCACTATCCAGGCCAGAAAGTATCTTGGCTCTGTGCTGGACACTGGAAATCACATGTGGTAACCAGCAATCACAACAAGGATGTCTTCGGCTTCAGTGCCTCTGTTGCTTTTGTCTTGGTATCTCAGTATCTTTATTTAAGAAAGAGTTGGATTCTTTTCTGTTGGCAGTTGTTTGAATCTCCTTACTCCCTCCTCCCCAGTCCTGTGTTGTGGGGTGACCATACTGCTCCCCTGCCTGTCCCAGAGACAAGTGCCAGTGCCTGGTTACAAAGGATTTCTTCCAGCAGCCCAGCTGTGCCCCTTCCCCAGCTGGCTCCCCACTGCTGGTGCAGCTCAGGGGAAGAGTCCTCATCCCAACAGGGCATCGCACCACTGTGCTCTGGGTGCCTTCTGTAGCAATGAGATGATCAGGGCCTTGGTATTTGCTTTGGTTAATATGATCTGAAAGTTACACGTGGAGAACGTTCCTCTTACACAGACAGGACCACAGCAATGTGATTATGTTCTGGCTGTGTGTGGCTGAGCTGGGGAGCAGCTCTTCACCCTTTCCCTTCAGCTGGTGCTCTGAGAATCTGCTCCTGTCTGTCAGCGATGGAGAGACTCGCAGCTCTGTCACTGGTGCTAAATGAAGGTCACGGTAATGCAAGCGTGCATGTACAAGTAGGGTTGTCATCACATAAAAAATATAGATCACTCCCAAATACTGCAGCTAATTTGACTGTTCAACCCGGAGAGAATTGGTGAACAACTGTGTTGCTGCATGTGGCTGAGTGTTTTGCTCCATCCTGAACAGTAGTCAGGTGTAGCGTTTGTCAACTAATATTCAGCTGATCTGATAATGGTTATATATTTTTAAATTAAATAAGACATTGCTTTTCATAAAGTTGATCTTGCACTTTCTACCAGATGCTGGCTTTTGCCCACTGATAGCAATGGGATGCTGCCTCATGTAGACCTGTTTTCTGACCTGATATGGTTATTCGTATGTTTCAATTTTGTTTATTTTAATATAAATTACAAGGAAAATAAAATAGTCTTAATCTTCAACACCAATAGTATAAGTCAGTCTGAAGCCATAGACATATTAAACTACCTCACAGAAGGTGTCCCAGCAGCCTGACTTTCAAGTTGCTCTGTGACAACTCAAAGTAGTAAGTGTTGTTTGGTCTCATGGCTCACTACCTTCATCCGTACCTCTATCCTCTTTTTAAACTAAGTCATAGTGAAATAGGAAAGCTTTAAAAGAAATTAATCTCTATTGAGTGTTGGGGAATCCATGAAGAGTACTGCTTTCATTAGGAAAGTGATATAAAAAGCAGTGAATGAGCAAGAGACCTGTGCTTTTTTCCTGGTTTTGCTACTGAGGGACTATGAGACCTTGATCATTGTCCCTCCTTTTGGTCAAGTTGTCTTCCTTAAAGAATGCCATAAAGACATACTTTGAGACATTTGAAATGAAGACTGAAGTATGCATGTTGGGAACATTTTTTCTTCAATCTAGATTTACTACTGTTTTAGCTATCAAGCTTGTTTTTAACTGGTCAAATGTTGAAAACGTTGTTCTCAGAAAAATCTATATTTATCAGGACTTGTGCAGAGTAGCCTTTAGTGAAACTTTTTGGATTGCTTTAAAAAAAAAAAAATTCCCCTGTTCAAGTGAAATCTTTGTACCCTGAAATTAGATCTGTTATAGTTACAGTTCTGTAAAATGCTGAAAGCAGTTCTGTAGGGGAACCTTAATTACGGCAGCACAAAAAGAGGGCTTTATAAGGTAACACAACACTGCTTACTGTTCCACATAAACTCATTATCACGCATTTGAGCGTCGAGTTGTGTGTGTGCTCAGGGTTGCCTGTGCAGTTGCATATGAACTGGTCATGTGCTCACACGCTGGCTCCGGTGTGTAGCTGCTGTGCGTCCTCCCGTCAGCAGCCTACTGTCACAGCTGTCCCCAGCATCTGCTCAAACCTGAGTGCCAGCCACACACTTGCCTGGCGCTCCCATGCGTGGGCACCGTCACAACACGGTAGTCAACATTTTGTGGGTTTGGCTGGACTTCTCCAGACACTGCAGTTCTAGATAAATATTGCTATTTATTACACCTAAATTTAGGGTTACTAATTATATCAGTATAACCTAATTTATATCACCATAAACAGCAGTAATAAATGATGCCAAATGCTAAGACTTGATGCTTGCCAACTGTGCCTGTTTGATGAGGACTCCCCCCCCAACCCCCCCAGTTCCCAGAAGTGTTAAATTAAAAATGATCGGCCTTGCAAGATCATTGATCAAGAAAGAAGTAGAAGCTCCTGGGGAAGTGATTTTGTCATTAAAAAATATTTCACATGCAGACTGCTCACGGCATGTCTGCGTGTTTTGTGTATTCAGAAGTTCTCTTCCCACTGACATATCCTTAACTGGCCAATATCTCAGTTCTCTGTTGAGTTCATGTCTCACTCCTATGTTGCTACTTTTTTCCTCTTTCTTTACTCTTTTTAATGTTTCCTCTTTCTTCTCTTCCGTCTGCCCTTTTCTCCCTCTCTCCTCCTTCCTATTGAATCAAAGAAGCTTTTCAATGAAAAGAACTTGATGCATTTTATAAATGAATT